TTTCAATCAATAATGTTTAATCGTTATTAGAGTAGTTTCTTCTCGACCATTTTCTGAGATCTAAAAATTTTTTAAAGCGGTGGCTAAAACTTCTGGACAGAACAGATTTTCACAGGATAATAGTTGGATATGCTGAAGTTTACGTTTTAAATATATTCACTAAATTTAAGAAGGTTACTAGCTAAAGACTGCACGAGAAAGTGTTTCACAAATTGCTAAATGAATTTCTTGCAGAGCAATACGAATTGGATCCGCTTTCTGCCTCCAGCGTTCGTGCTGGACGATTCGGACATGCTTCACTTCAACATGTGTGCGTGTTCCGGTCAGCTGCAGGTGGTTATCTCTCTCGGGGTGAGCAGTCAAACGAATCATGAGATTGAGCGTCTGTTCTTCTGTCTTGATCTCTCACTCACACGCCAATTGTTGCTTTTAGAAAGGTCGCGTTTACGTCTATGACGATGGTCGTTGGGCAGACCTGAGGTCACACTCCCATTCACATTGTCGTGTTCGACTGCCGAAAGACACACTCCTTTTGGTCGACCTGACCTATGAGTACAGCGACGTTGTTGACGACAAAGTAAGTTGTTAACGTGATACTGTTTGAAAGCGAAGAACCTGTAAAATTATCCACTTTTTTCTGAGGGATTGATACAGTTTTCCTCTTCCTTATAAAGGTCGTTGGTTCTGACAGGTCAGCAATACGTATCCAATCAGTGATTAACGAAAATCACTTAAATGCGCATAGAATGAACGTATTTTATTGTTGAATATACGGAACATATCATTTCGTTCAGCACCAAAAAACAGAAAGGAAACTTTATGTAGGCATTTGCCGGTAGGCAAATTAAGTTGCTGTTTGCACCACTTATCAGAAGGCAACGACAGGTTTATGATACAAGACAAGCAAGAACTACCGAAACAGTTGGAGTTTCGTCCAACAGCGTATGTTCACTAGTTTTGATCTGTTATCGGAAGGTGGGGATATGCAAGACGATCGATTCGAATAAAGTGGATGGTTGACGAGAACACCGTTACCCAAGTGTAGTCAGATTTCTAGGATCCATTGTGCACGTCTTTGACAAGAATTTTCAAAACGACGCGGCTGTGTAGGGACTTCCAAGGCGCGAGATTGCGATGTCTACGGCCTAACCGAGCTATATCGATCATGGGTTTTCCTCTCGGCCGTCCTACCTAAGTTAAGTGATGTTAAACAAAGTATGCATTAGCTCAGTCAAATATGCTATTATTTCTGAACTGAGTCGAACGTTCCCGCTGATGTCATTCTTTTAGAAAAAGTCGCCTGTTCGAAATCCGATCTTTCGGATAATCGATGCTTATTACCTTTGCGGAAAGGATATCAGCGGATGCACGTACAACGAGAGGTCAGTGAGTGATTGATTAATTTCATTTTGTTGTTCTAGTTTAACTTATTTTATTATATTATCGTTCTATGCCTGTCTTTAGGATGCGTTTGTCGACAAAGTTCTGTAAAACTATTAGTAAGGAACACAGTCGCCCGGATTTAGCCATCGTCCGAACAGCTCAAGTTTGGAAGTTCGAAGAACTACACAAAGTGCTAAAAAGGTATGAATAATACATTAATCACAGCACTTAAGTCATTGTACGTTGTGTATTACTGTTTATTGAAATCATCAACTTGAACTATTTGCATGAGCTGGCGTTTCTGGTCTGTGGTGTCCTCTATATTCACAGCTTTTCAACACTTGTGCTACAAGATGCCGGTTATTGTATCGTAGAATGACATATTCCTCTCCGAAGGCAGATCTGCCTCTATTGATTCTTCCTCCATGTTGAATGTTGGCCTTGCCTTGTTTTGGCTCCCACGAAAAGCTCATAGGCCTGTAATAAGTGGCTTATATTTAACCACTTTGTTTAAGAGGGCCAGCCTTTTTTACAGATTTTAACATTTACAGACGTAACCTGTGAC